CGCGGGCGCTCCCTCCACGTCTCCGAAACCCACTGATAAGTAGGATGTGTAGACTCTCTCAAACCGTGCAGCGCTTCCTTCCTTTTACCACGGATGGATAACAGGGGATACTAGTAATAGTGGGGAAAAAGAGCCTGTGAAATGCCTGTACATAGTATTTAAGTTACTGTAACCAATTGCTTTCCTCTGGTTTTGTTTCTTTCTTATTTGTTTGAGTTTTATTTTTGTTTTCATTGTGAAGTCACAAAACTTAGCTCTTGTTTGAATTCCTTTATTCCTTCCCCCTTCTTTTCTTTCCTCCCCTCTGCCCCGCCCTCCCCGTAAACCCTCTTTCTAAATGCCTCTGGAAATATAGAATGGTCCGTAGCTGTAGCCGCGAGTAATGGGTTTCTCACTTTCTCTGCAATTCCTCGCATGAAATAATTACGCCGTGCCCTGGGCTAACACAGCTAAGAAATAGCTGAGCTTTCCCTTCAAAAGAACAGAAATAACTCTCGTAGGAAAGTCGATTAAAGTAGCATGACGCCTTCCAAAAGCAAAATTAGCTGCCTCTGTATTTTTCTTTAAAAGGAATAGCTCGACATCAGCAATACTATTATTTTTGTGGTATTCCTCCCCCCCCTCGCCCCCAAGTGCCAAATCCATTACTGGTCCCTGCAGGTGCCAAATATGCTGACAAACTCTTTTCAAATTTCTTTGCAGTTTCCCCCTCTTTCTTTATATTGCTGTAAATCTTTGTAATGAATAATCTAAAAAAAAAAAAAGATATAGACGACTGAATTGTTGGTAACCATAGTGTAGTCCAGTGAAGATGAATTGTGAGTTGTATATTTTACTGCATTTAGTTTTGGAATTGACTTTTTCATAAAGTAGCTAACCGAGATCTGACTTCCTGGGGAATAAACTACGCATCGAAAGTAAGAGCGATGTTTCCTGTAAACCTCTTATTATAGTAATGAAGGAGAAGTAATATCCCTCCAGCTATCCCCCCGGCGAAGCAGAATAGTAACTCTTCGAATTTTGAGTAGCAAATCTATACAATTAACGCATTTTTATATGAAGAACAATTACAAACTGAAATATGCATCAGGCTAAATATTCAGTCTAGATTACAGTCGACGGGGAAATTTCCTAATAGAAATTCAGGGTCATAAACGTGTGTATATTTTTGACTCTTCTGTAAATCGAATGTTGTGATTTTTATATTTGTTCTGTTATGTCTGTGGAACTGAATAATTTATACAAGTACATGCTCCATTGAGAAATGTTTCGGTTTTTGCCCGTTTGTATCGTCTGTGTATAACAAGTAAAATAAACCTGGCAAAACGTTAACGCCGTGTTTGAAAGCAGTTTGCCGTTTTACAAGTACGAAGTTAGGTGACTCCAGCGAGCTAAGGGAGAGACACGAGCGTAAGCTCGTCTCTCCTCTGACCCGGTGGCGGTCAGGGCTTCTCAGGCGGGAGCCCCCCCGCTTCCCCTCTGTGCTGCAGTTGGGTCCTCTCTCCCAGTGTAGGTTTGCTTGTCTTTTGCGGGGGTGAGCCCCTTTGGGGGGCAGAGGGTTGGTGAAAGTGTACGCTTTCCGGCCAAGTGTGAAGGTTTGCACTCGGAGAGAGAGGGACGTGAAGTCGCAGGCGGGTTTGAGAGCTGTGTAACGATCCAGGTCTTTACGTTCAAAACCCTGAAGCGTTTTGCAGGCTGGAGAGTTGTCCGGCCGTGGACGCGGTGTGGAGGACGGAGCTGGGCTGCTGGCGGCGCTGGAGACGGTGGTGCCTGGCCGCAGC